GTATCGGTTACTAGAAGTGCCTTTTATCAGTCTTACCTGATTCATCAGCTGCATTCCTATCAGGAAAGAGCAGCCTTTGCTACTTAATCTATGCCCTCATTACACACAGACTAGGCTCTCTAATGCACTCTACATGGGACTATCTTTGAAGGAAGCTTGGAGGTTCCATCCAGGTGGTGCTGACATTGCTTCAGGAGCTAGATGATCAGAATACATAGCAGCAATTCTTCACCAGCTGTGTTGTTGATATGCCTGTAGTCCTCATTTAAAGTTCTAGTTGTAACTTTTATAGCCTCAAATGGCTTGAAACTATCTAATTAGCTGTTTCTTTAGTTTCTCCTGAAATCAGTCATGGAGGCCTAACATGTGTGCCCACTGGTATAATGTGTTAGGCTGGTTGGAACAAGATAGTGAGCCTTTGGGGGGCAGTGGTCTTATCTAGAATGCCCTTCCCCAAGATGCTTGAATTTTTCCATCACAACCCTTGTTACAGTTGGTTTAAAGATTTCATGTTATTTTAATTAATCCAGGAGAGGAAGAGGAGGAGGAGTCTGTTTGCCATGCCCCACATCCCAAATGTATTACTTGAATGTGCGCGCGCGCACACACACACACACACACACACACACACACACACACACAAACACAGAGAGAGAGAGAGAGAGAGCCTGAATGTGCACACACACACACGCGCACACACACACACACAGAGAGAGAGAGAGAGAGAGAGAGAGAGTGTTGCAGTGGTGAACTCAGTGTATTCAGATTGTGTTAACACACCACTATACAGGTTTACACCACTATGGGAAAATTCCTGGTGATGCTACTGCTTAACTGTGTTGTATATTAATTTCTTACTTCAATAACTCTTTTGGGAATGGCTTGTTTCTAAAAGTGGTAGAGAAATATTCTCAATATCTAAATAAATGAGCAAGCAAGCAAGTAAGCAATGACACTCGCCTTATGGGTCTCTCAGCAACTGTTTTTGGGATGTATATAGCCTCTGTCACAAGAGCTAACTCTGCAGGCATCATGGCTAGGAGGTACAGGTGACTTAATCTTCATTTTATTTCTATTTCTAAAGAGGAGGGGAGCAGTGGAAGGGGCACAACGGTAATCCAGCTACATTAGGACCTTAGAGTTTGTGGTCAGCTTTTACTTCTCCCTTGTGTCATCCTGCAAATTCTCAATCAGAAACAAGAAAATATCATAACCCTCCCTTTCTCCCAGAAGAAGAAAGAGAAAGACAGGAACTACATGTTTCAGATAACCTCTGAAACAGGTGTGAAACTGCCTGTCACACTCATCCCGCTTTAATTTGAAACATTGCATTAAAGTAGGACATGGACCAGTCCCCAATCCATAGGCCTCTCACAGTGCTGAGGTCAGGGCAGCCTTACCTCCTTGCCAGGGGTGGACAAGGGGACAGCCATTCATGAAAATTGACCTCTCTCCAAGAAAAAAATCACCAGCCAGCCAGTACCAAGGTAACTAGAAACTCCACCCACCACTAGCCAGGCAGTGACGCTGTTCTTGCCTGAGAGGCAGCTTCAGTGGCTCCATGCCTGCCAAATGTCAACCCACAAAACAATATTGTCACTAGCTGGGAAGCCTCCCAGCACTGTCTAGCCAGGACTGAAGCCCAGGTGCAGTTTTAAAATGGTGCCAATGTGCACTTCTAAAAACAGCGTCATGTGCATCACATGACTTCACAGCAGCTTTGGCACTTCCTGAAAGTGTAGTTTCAGTCAAAGAGAGAAATGGAATAAAGGCCTTTTCCTCCCTCATCTCCTCTGTTTCCTGCCTTATCTCTCACCCAGCTTTTCTTGCCTGCCTTCTAGTTAGTTGACCAGTGGCCTTTTTCCTTTCCACATTTGAAGAAAGCAGTAAACAGAAGCAAGGATAATCATACTGGTACAGAACAAATTCCAACATCCATACTGGTGCGACCCACAAAAGGGATGATTCAGAGGAGGAGGAAAAGGAACAAAATGGGATTGTGTTAGAGTTGCGCACCCATCATTTCACCCCTTTGGCCCAGCTGGTCCACCTAAAATTGGCCAACCATGCCTCTCTTTCAGATATTTCCCACTCTACATTTTCTTTTCCAGTCAGTTCCCAGCATTTCATGCATTTCCAAGCATACATAGTCTTTATTATTTTTTGGGGAAAAAATCAGATAGTCTAAGTGCAACAAAATATACTTTTTATTGTTTGAAGCAAATACATTTATTTACAGAATATTTCATTCTGCAACATTTCTGTATTAATTACAAAAGCAATACATTTTACATTACATAAACCTTTATTGACATTTGATTACATTTAAAGGAGTAAGCAGTGTGACCAAGAAAATAAAGGGAACAAATTAGGGCTGAAGTTGGGAAGGATGGGGATTGTGGTTTCTCATAAGAATAGTTAACAGAAATTCCGCCACGAGATAGGTAGTAGTTGGAAGGAAGTCACTGAGGAGGATTGGGAGGGGATCAGAAAGGGCAGGAGGGAGGGTTAGGAGAAAGGGGTTTAGTAGGGAAGATCTAAGGGCAGAGTGAGAGGGGCAAAAGCAATATATACTGAATTATGTCCTTGTCCCAGAGTGAATCAGCTGGCTACTGACTGTGTGTCTACAGGATACCAGGTTGTGGCAGATTAACAGGGCCCTCAAATTTGTATTAGCCCTGCATCTGGTAAATTCAGAAATCTGGTAAATTCAAAAAACCCTCAGTTTTTGGAATCAATTTGTTTTTTTTTTTTTAAAAAGGAGATAAAACAAAGGGCTCTTTCAGACTGGACACTTTCCCCTCTTTAAGTATAGGGTTCTTAAGTACAGGGACACCCTGTCAGCCATCTGAGGAGATGTTTCATTTCCCAATTTTAGGGTCTTGAAACTTGTAACATTCCTCATATCTTGCTTTGTAATGATATTTTTTTCTTTTTGACTACCGGCTTTTTCCCTTATGCTTGAAGTTAGTACCTTTTTTCTAATAACAGAGGCATAACCGAGTTACTTTACAGTTGTAGCTTTACTCCTTTTGTAGGCTGGGGTTCCTTTAGCCCCTAGTCATTTTTGATGTTTATAGAACAAAGCATGAAAAGCAAAGTGAAAAGGAAAAAAAGAAAACTATACAGAGGTCTCAAATCATTACTAGGTGTGAAATGCCACAATGCTCACACAATTTACAACTTGAATCTACCAACCACCCATGTGTCTTTATCTTAGAGCCATGTATGCATGTTTTACTATGTAGTGTCTGTATGCTCACCTTATGTCTGAAGGAGTGGACTTGTTCCATGAAAGCTTGCATTAAAATATAGCAGTTAATCTTTAAGGTGCTGCGATGTCTTTGTCTTCTTTATTTATTTATTTTGCTTTTGTTTCGTATTTCTTGTTGATATGCATGCGCAAACAAACATGGCTACCAACCTGAAACCTTTTTAGTAACATTTATAACTATAGGAAAATGCCATCAGTAGATGGTGAAAGAGGAACCTAACTAGATGGTAATGCTGCTGTGTTCATAACTTTTCCAAGTTATAACAACAAATATTGTAGTTACATTTGAGGAATAGTAAAGGAAACATTTTTTTTAAACTGCTCCAGAATGTTATCTCTAACTACTGTATCCATCTCTGTGTGCTTGGAAAACGTGTGGCAATGACTTATTTCCTAAGAGCAACATGCTAAGCTCGATCTTTCATAAAGGTAATGGGGATGAGGCTCACCGGCTCACTCTGCCTACATTTTTGTGGGACAGACAGAAATGTGCTAAAATAATATTTTTAGTAAAATAAGATACAAGTTAAAAAGATACAATATTTATCAGAGACTCCTAAAATAAGAGAATAGACTCCTGGTAAATAAATGCATGTATACTATTATACACCACTATCCTCCAGATACTATTATACTATTATCACACGGAAGTGCTATGTGATACCTATAAAGATGCCGGGAATCTGCACTTTAGCGAGAGGACAGCATATAATAAGGTATACAAAATGTAAAATCCCAGAGCCCTGGCCAAAAGGTCTTTCTCAGTCTGAAAATGACACAACCTGTACCTAGGCAGAGCTGAATACTCCTTGTAAATAAATGCATGTATACTATTATACACCACTATCCTCCAGATACTATTATACTATTATCACACGGAAGTGCTATGTGATACCTATAAAGATGCCGGGAATCTGCACTTTAGCGAGAGGACAGCATATAATAAGGTATACAAAATGTAAAATCCCAGAGCCCTGGCCAAAAGGTTTTTCTCAGTCTGAAAATGACACAACCTGTACCTAGGCAGAGCTGAATGGTAAGAGCAAGGGGTGTGTGGGGTGGAGGAACCTCAGGTCCCTGGGCTGAATTTAGGCTACCGTGTCCTCTCCTTATTTAGCCTTGTGACCAGTTTCACTGCCCTGGCCAGCTAGGAAGAAGGAGTAAGCAAAATTTGACCATTTGAAAAAGTTACTTTGGGGTACCACAGCTCCAACAACCTCTGCAAGTCAGCATGTCAACACATAGTCCCAAAAAGTAACTTTTCAAAGCTAGAGAACATCCCACATCTATATACATGTGTGTATGGAAGGGGTGTGTGTGTGTTTGTCTGGGCAAGTATCTCAGAGGGGCAGGTGAAAATCAGCAGAGGCAGGCCTGGGAAAGCATACCATTCTTGCTGCGCTTTCTCCAGGTCAATGCAGTCCTCAAGCTGAAAAGACTTCTTTGTTCATTCAACAAATAATGAATCAGCAAAGAATACACCAGAATGTGAACCGGAGAAGAATGGACTGGGCTACAACAGGAAGGAAGTGAGCTCTAAAAAAGCAAGCTGTTGAACATTTTCTCCCTTCAAATGCCACAATGAAGCCATTAAAGAAGAATGCACCATGTTCATATGGAATTGGTTTTAAGTTGGTGGTATTAGCCCCACACATTGTTCCTTTTCCTTTCACTCCAGACCATTTTAAAAAAGGCAGGTGATAATAAAGAACAACTCTATGAATCCTCACTCCCTGATCTGATCTTGACCAAAAGAACAATAATTTGGCTCCAAGCCTCTCCGAGTGCAGTCAGTGACATCCGTGTCACAAGTCTCGCAGTGACACCCTGTTGCCACTGGATAGGAATAAAAGGATTCTGCATGGCCAGCACAGCCAGGGATCTTTACAGTCTCATACACAACAGCCCTGAAGGTGCAGACTCTCTGGATGTTTTTCTTCAGAAGCTCCTTATCGACTGGATCCTAGGCGTGACCAGAAAACAGACAAAAAAATTGGTGTTGAATCCATTCGCAAATAATTGAGCAGTGTTTAACTCAACTTTCTATTACAGTATATTTTAAAATGCAATTAAGCCCTTAAACAAGTTGATTGTTCCAAGTTCAGGGGAGAAGAGAATCAATTGTTTATACAAAATTCATTTGTATTATAGGTTTCTCACCTCTGAAACATTTAGGCTACTTGTTCTACTCTGTTAATTAGTGGAGGACATTACAGCAAAATAGGCAGAACTGGCCTGGCAACTCTCCATTATCCGCATGTTTTCACCCACATCCAAATGCAGACCTACCTGCAAGATCATTCTGAGATGTAGGAACCAGAAGAAATTAAAACATAATTACGATTTTGAGAAAGGACCTCTGTTGATTGTAATGGAATACACTTCCAGGGAACTAAATCGAGATTCAGAGACCAAAGGTGCAATCCAAAGCTGCAGTCCCTGAACACAACTGGTCTTGAGAATAAACTGCTAGAAGCCAACTGGCTACATTTTTAGCTTGAGGATTCTATTGAGTTTGCTTCTGCATCCAGCATGTTCTGAAGCACAGAAGGCTAGTTAGTATTGCTTTCAGTTGTCTCCACTAACAAGCACAGCCATGATTTTACATTTGGCTGGACATTAAAGAACTGTTAGAAGAACCTGCAAAAATGATTTGTTCCGTACTGCAGTCAAAATGTTTAATTCCTCTTTATTGGCGGGGCCATTGGTCCAAGTGTGTCTCTGGGTGGGGCTAATCCCACAATAATGGAGAGAGGCATTCCCCCCGCCCCGCTGCTCAGACCATAAGCCCTCCGTGGTCTGCATTATTCCTAGTTTCTGGGTCCTCACCTTTGTGAAACAGTAACCAGAACACCAAGTTGCATTCACACTGATGCAGAAGCCACACTCTTCATTTTCCAGCACTATTGTGACGTTGGACAGCTCACAGAGATTACAACAAACAGTTTTCCAACAAAGTAACAAGGCACAGAAATTAAATGTCTTCATCCTGTAGTAGAGATCAGAGAGTTGAGAGGCATGAGGGGAGAGTGGCTTATAGTTCCACATATCCTGAGAAGCAGTCAACATTAGCATTCTTTGTACGCTGATACAAAGGCAAGCTTCTGAAAGCAGCGGAAGGTTAGATAAAAACACACACAAGTAAAGTCAGCAAAACAGAGCTTCAGGGTTATTGTTAAAGGATAAGAGATTTGTTCATTGTGTGAATGTGCATCCAGTTATGCCTGAGAGAAAAATAACAAAATAATCAAACTATTTCCACTGAACAGATGAAATCTCTATTGCTGTTACAAATAAATTATTTTATCTTCAAGAGAGAAAAAAGAAAACAGAATAAATGTATGAAAGCAGGCAGCAACATCCTATTCTGGTTCTTTACTAAATTGAAGTTTCATATCTAACATTTTACAAAGGCCTTGCCATTTCCAAAACAGTCTTAATTAACAATTGGATGAAAAGTTACCTGTGTCAGACTCGCCTTCCTAGAATTAGTTACTGAGAGAGGAAAGCTTCATTCTACCCTTTTATACAAAATTAGGTGTAACTTACACCTGGAGGATTTGCAGAGGATTAAGGTGACTGACATTTACCTAAATCCTGAGGAGCAAGAACTTGTTATTCAGCCAGACGATGAGATGCAATCTTGTAGGAAGATGGCCCTGAACCACACTGTAATATCCAAAATTATCAACTCTGTGTGTGTGTGTGTGTGTGTGTGTGTGTGTGTGTGCGCGCGTGCGTGTGCGCGTGCGTGCGCGCGCGCGTGTGTAATAATACTGTTACTGCTTGCAGTAGAGAAAACCACTGCCAAGGCTTTTCTGCCCCCAAACCATGCAATCCTTGCATGTGGCTGCCAGGACCATCCCCAATGGAACACCATACCTCTATGTGACCTTAAGTGGCATTATTTAGCACAATCCAGCCTGATCCAGTTAGGCCATCTAGTCACACCTTGATGAGCTATCCAGCCAAGGTTTTGCATTGAACATGCTGTATTGCATTCTTTACTCTTAACGGCGTAGGGTTATATAGTACATAGCATTTTGGGGTGAACTTGCAGAACTGCACTTCTTAAAATAAGCTGTCATTCTTTTCATGGAGACTGTTATTCTCTGTCATGTCGAAAATTAAAGAGTTTAAAAACAATGAGGGGAAGCATAACTTTAGGTGTGTGTACATCCATTTGCCTCCCTCTAGTTCTAAGGCTAGGGTGGAGGAAGAGGAGAGAGGACTCTGGAGCAAAGGTTCATAATCTAGGTGAGGCCAGATATATCGCAAAGGAAGTCTCATGGGTTCATAATCTAGGTGAGGCCAGATATATTTGCTAATTCGATAATACCTTAGCATGAAGACTGAAGGGGAATTATATTTACAACTATGTGCCGCTGTTGTTTGTCATTGGAAGTTATTGCATTCCACTCACCTCTTCAAAGAAAGATGGAAAGACCGTTAATTTAAATTTTATGTGCACAGAGAAAAATAAGCTTTTCAGATGAAAACCTGTATTGTCTCATTATTTATTAATTCATATATCTTTTCTTTCTCAATTCTGCAGATCATTTTTTTTAAAATCTAAGTTCTGTCTGTCCAGGAAAATATTTTACTATAAATCTGATTCTGGCATCATTTACTTATGGAAGTAAGTAGGAAGACATCGCACCACACCATCTCCAGGGTCAGAGAGGGGACAGATATGGGCAAAATGGGGAGGGATGTTGCTGGTGTCAGTGTGTGGATACATGTATGTGATGTCAGCTGGGAGGCAGGATCCAGAGGCTATAAAATGCCTCTGGCTTTGTCCTTAGGCCTCCTATAGAATCTATCTGGCTAAGTGTGTGGCTTGGATTCATGTGGGTGGGAATGAACCCCATACATACAGAATCACTCAGCCCAAGCATGTATCCTGTTCTATTTTTCCGGAATATAACTTGTTTCCTTTGGAGCTAAATCTCCAAAAGCCATGTTTCTTCCTTCTTCCACCTCAGCTCAATCTGCTGCCCCCATTCTCCACCTTGTCTCAATCCCTTGTTTCTTTCCTCCCTTTCTAGCCTGATTTGTTAATGGAAGCTTTGTATGTGAAGAAGGTGGCGCACATTTCTTCCTAACACTCTTTCTGCAAAGTTTGAATGAGACCTTAGAGCTGTTAGCTCCTTTTTTCTTGCAGAGTAAAAAAAGTATCCTGTTTATATCAGTCTTGTCAGGCATGAAGCACAGGGAGAGAGGCAAAAAACTCCACCACACCCCTATTTAGAGACTTAGCTTTAATCAGCCTTTCATTACATTACACCAGAATTTATGTCAGGGGAGTCCTAAGTGTAGACACTTCCATGGGTCCCACAAGGATTGGAATCAAGGAATCAGAAAGAGATAACAGATCTGAAGCCAACAGGGCATCATAATTCTAAAACAAGCCAACAAATCTGGCAGCAAAAGGGAAGAGGGAGGGATTTATTCAAATATGATGTAGGATCTGCTGAACTAATCTGAATCAATGGGAAACTAAACACTCTCTTAGGATGCAGTTACACATTGAAATACTCCTGGATTTACATTGGGTTTAGCATGCTTGGAATCAATTTAAAAATAATCTGTTTACATGATGAAGAGCTAAGCATGACATACAACTAAGCCGAAAATGAGGTACTGTATTTTAAACAGCCACAAAGTGGTTGTTTCTTTCAACTTGATTGTGAATATGATTTACTTTGAATCATTTTGGCATGCGTGAACACCTGTGGTGGAGTAAATTATGTTGGTTGGGTTTGTCAGCTATTGGATGCCAGCATTATCTGCGTTTCAGACTACAGGACATCCTACAGTCTGAACTCCTACTTTCCCTCCTATCTGCTTCTATTTTATTGCTGTATTACTTGTGTGCTGGAAAGTGCTGACAGCTGCCTTACTGGTGGTTCATCTTCTCGTACCTTGCTTATCTATTGCTATGGCACTTTGAAATACATTTCAAAAAATTGTCTCACACCAAATATCTCGGCTTCCAACAGATGAAAGGTGGAAAACAAGGTGTAGAAGCAAGTGAACAGGCCAACCAGGACTGTGTCATAGGAAACTTTTCCTCTGCAACTAGAGACTGATGCCAACGTGGTTGCTATTGTGAGCGGTGCTTTCACCTCAAGCTGTGTGTATATTTCTCACACATACTACAAGCTGTGGGGCTGGATCAAGGCTGCTGCTGCTTCTCCCACTCTCTGGTGAGGTAATCCTGCAATCCATCCAGTTTCTTTTCCCCCCCTTTTTTTTGGAAGAGGGAGGTTGTCTTTCTTAAGAAGGGGAGTTGTTCTATAACATTATTTCACTGACTCACTCTCTTTGATCTTCCAGTTTTCCATTCCAATCCCACTCTCCCTTGTTTCCACTGAGGGACCCAAGTGCATTTATTATTTCAACCATTTTTAAATTCAACCACTTGAAGCCTTGTGTATCCCCTTCTGCTGATATACTGCACAGTTATAACTGGAATAAAAAAATTCCCAAGAGGATGCACGCATCAACCCCAAAACCATGTGACTTTAAACCGACTTCAAATACCCCAGCCTAATTCATTTTAATAGTATAACCATGCCCTTAGACAGGAACTTTTAGGATGCATGGATGAGCTCTCAGTTTCCAGGTGTCACATACTCAACTAGCTTCCCTCTACATCAGTATATTTATATAGTGGTGCCTCGACTTACGAACTTAATCCGTATTGGAATGGAGTTCGTAAGTCGAAATGTTTGTAAGTCGAATCAGGATTTCCCATAGGAATGCACTGAAAACTGATTAATCCATTCTGGCTGTTTTTTGTTCTTACGTCGAGGCATGGTTTGTAAGTCGAATCATTTGTTCCCATAGGAACAAATGCAAAAGCGTTTAATCCATCCTCTACCACTAGGGGGAGAATTTTTTTAACCTAAGATGACCTAAGGTTAAAAAAAGGGCAGGAAAGGAGGGAGGGAACAAACAGCTTTTAAACAAAACACCTTTAAAACCAAGCAGCTTTAAACCAAACCAATCACCTTTTACACCAATTTTTGCATTTTAAAATTACAGTACCAGGCAGTACTAGGCAGTCCAAAGTGCATTTCCCACTTTTTCAGCTGTTTTTTGTTCGTAAGTCAAAGCTCCGTTTGCAAGTCGAAGCAAAATTATGTGAACAGAGCTGTTCGTAAGTCGAATTGCTCGTTTGTACGGATGTTCATAAGTCGAAGCATCACTGTATCTATTTCTATGCCAGCAAAACTGGCTGGTCAGTTCAGGGCTGAATCAGTTATTAGGTCGCAGTGCCCGTCCCCTCGCTTACTCTCGGACTGTAATTCCCAGAAGCCTTCACCACTTGTGCTGGCCAGGATTTCTGGGAGTTGCAGTCTAAAAACATCTGGGGACCCAGATTTGAGAACCACTGCTCTACATCAGTGCTGAAGAGTATATGTATTTATTTTGGGGTCATTTGACCTATTGAGATTATTTACTTATATTATTTAGTTATGTATTTTATATAGTCAGCATCCTGTTTTAGTCCAAAAAGTCATATTTGTCATCTCTGAGCTGTGCGTTTCACATGCATGCTTTCCCCCCCACCCCTCAAAAGATCAGTTATGTGTTGGTACCAAGAGGATTTGGCAAGCATGTCAATGTAGTGTAGTTTCACGTGGGCATCAGTACTATGACATTGAAGCTGTTAACCTCTCCATGTCCTATGAACTGTCACGAAGACCATCAGAGAAAATATTAATGGGTTGAGTTATCACAAGCAGTACTTACATAAACACATATTGTATGGTGTCCTCATCCAGGCATGAAGCTTGGTGCTCATCCTGTCCAAAGTGGGCCACTGAGCTCACTCTGTATGTATGTTCTAACCAAATTGGTGGGAAAAACTCAACCCCGATTGAATACAAGATTTCAGTTACATTGGGTGAATAAGAAATAGGTTGATAAGAATTAATGAGCATTCTTGTGTCCCAACAAAACTACAAATCTATGTAATT